TTTCTGGGACCGTGGTCCGCTAATCCCTGACCTCTGACCTAAAGGATCAGTCAGCTGTCGCCATGAGGAAATTTGGCCACATTCACTGAAGCTGAACTTCAAATTTATGCTATAAAAAAAAAAAAAACTTTTAAGATTTCTAACTTTTTAATAGTTAAATTTTAAAAGCGCATAGGGTTGCCAGATACTGAGACCACTTTCATTGAATTTCCGCTTCCCTGTGAAATATCTGAAGCCTTTTCTGGTTTCTCTCTGCAGTAGATGTTATCAGGAAGTTTTAATCTCCTTTCCTGTTCAGACCCTACATCGTTCTCCCTGCTGCTCTGCTCCTCCTCCCTCTGACTCTCTTCTATCATGGCAATAAACCTTAAAATGTGGAAAGTAACATTTTGAGACAGAATTAGGATGAGAAGTGGTAAAAAGTGCTGTGATAAATCACTGAGATATTAGCCACAGATATGTTTTTATCTCCTCTCTAATTTTCCTCTCTATGGGACCAAAAGATGTTTAGAGATTTACTGCTTGGATGTTGGGAGCCAATCACTGATTAAAGGTCACCAAATCAGTATCTATCGCTGATCACAGCATCCGATCCATCAGTTCTTTGATACTGTTGTCTAATGTACTATTGAAATATTTAGGAAAAAATCGATTTGCTGATGTATCGTGTTTTTCAGTTGTCTAATATAATATTGATCTTTCAGTTCCCAATGATGCTGAAAATATTCTTTATCTAAAACAATGAGTAAAAATGGACTACCCTGCACCCCCCCCCGCTGGCAGATGGCGCCGTGACAGAGGAAGTCAAGGACCGACTCAGACCCCAAACAAACAAATCTTGCTTTTTTATCTGTACCTGTCAATCTGCTCTATCTAGAACTCCTGAAGTGGAGGTTTTAGTTTAGTACCTGGTTTAATTTCACAAATATCTTAAAGGAACCTTTGGCCTTTGTTATCTGCAGTCTTAATGCCAATACTCACCCCTAATTGACCAAAATATAAAGATAATGAGTACAGAAAGTTAGAAGTTTTGTGGTCTATTTTAAAAAGGCTTTATTCATTTAGCCCTAGAAGGACTGTTTTGTGGTCCTACCTCCAGCAGAGACAGCGACCAGCAGTCGCCTTCTCTCCCTGCTCCTTCTGTTCTCCTCTGATGCTCCGCTGCTGTTCTTCCAGCAGTTAGCCTGGGCTAGCTGTAGCCTCTCCCTGCTCATTCTGCCTACTGGTCTTCTCTAAAGCACCGCTGTAGCAATCCAATCCAGCAGTAGCCTCTCCTCCGCCCTCAGCGTTCTGTTTTCCCCGTGGGCTCCTCCGATCTACCGCCCTGGCAGCCTCTTATGCTACGTTCACTACGTGCTGCTTCATTTTTTATGCTTGTACCAGTTTAGTTCTGACGCACGGCTGAAGCATCTTTGCTGCTCTAGCTGCGCGGTGGTAAAGTGG